GCAATTTGCAGCAACATACTGTTCGAGCTTATTGCTCGTACTATGTAGCAGCTTTCGTCCAGCGTTCCTCCTGTCTTGACAGTAGGTGCGCATATCTGACAGCAGTACGCACACAGCTCTGACCTGCACAACTGCACGATTGATATCACGTGACCTAATTAGGGTTACACTGCGCTTAAAGCTAAGGAGGTGTGTAAGCTAAAGGGCTCAACGATGGGCAACACAATCAACCTTGGGCTTGGCGTCTCATCACACCATATAAACATTAGCTCCTCGGACCCTCAGTCCACAATACCTCACTTCTATTATAACTTATACCCACCTGAGCTTGAACATTTTGTTGCTGTATTAACACAATTGAATGCACTAGCACCTCTGCGCCTTTCGTGAACCTCTGAAGGGCAACAATAATTGAAATGAGTGAAGTATCTGCATGAATTTAAATCTTATTCTGAAGCATCGTTGATTGAGACCCGGATTCGGCGGTATTGCTTTGTATTTAGGACTTCCAGGGCTTGTCAACAACGGTAGGTGGTGTTGGCGTGTGCAACTGTATTACAAGCTTCGATATCACCACCTCTGGGTTGAATGAAACTAAGCCAGCGCCGCTAAAACCCCCTAATCCAATTAGTAGCCATGTTTCCATAGCTAACCGTCCTCCTTGACCTGGTCGGAACTTTTGTATACTCTTTACCGGCTTGCGAACCGTTTTGACGAGAGACATGATGAATTTAGGTGCAATCGGCCAAGAGTCTTGCAGGTTACTATGTTTACAGCAACCCTACCAGGGAGCCTTGACGTGTATACGGGCCTTGACAACATGTTGGAGTATTTTAAAGCCCGATCCCGCCTTTATCAAGTAGTTCATGAGTTCACAGGCCGTTTGTGTTCATGATTGCTTGTGCCTCGAGAGTCTCGAGCCGATTCAGGCAAATATGATTTGACGTAATGCTGGCTGTCACACGGTCGAGTTCGACATGAAGGTTTATTTGCTCCTTACTCCCTAGATCTAATACATTTTTCCGCAATACCAATATTACCGCCAACCTACTGAAGCTCGGAGCTGTTGTCGGTCATGAGCCGCAGGTTGTAAAGCTTGTAGCTTATTATACTGCGCGGCTTGGAAGTAGAAGGAGGGTTTTGATAGAGGGCGTGGCCACCAACCATGTTGGATCACGGCTCTTTCGTTTCGTCATTCTAGCCTGTGGCTATCTTGTCCAGCCTTGCCACCGTTCTCCAAGGTCTGACCCTCTTGAACGTACGCGTTACTGTAACTTTAGTCCTTCCACGGTCACCCTGATGAGGGCTGCTTGGAGTACACTTACATTGGAAGACGCATAGCTATCTAGACCAAAATTGTAGTTGGTAAGCGAAAATGACCAACAAGTTTCTTTGATCAGCACCTGCATCTGGTTTATACTGCGCCAAGACAGTGTTTATACAAGGTGTGGGGACTTCAAGCTGACTGAATGGTTTGGTCGTGGAGTTGAGTCTGGCCGGACCTCTCCGCTCGACGCTTACCGTGCAAGCGACGTTACCTGACCTATTAGTCGCAACGGCAGAAGATAGTTTGAATTGGGCTCTGTAGGGATCTACGAACTCAAGAGAGCCGCAGCAAGTGTTTTGATGTATACAGCCGAGCTGGTTTCGACTATATGATGCCTGAAATTGCATTTTGCAACAGGTGACAACATCTAGGACTAACTTGTTGTGGGTTGCTCTGGCTTGAATTTGGTCCTTGCTTACAATCTATAGAACGTCACGCCTGCTCCATAATGTGGGCCATACCGACGCATATCTCATTAGGGGTCTTCCTTCTCACTACAATGGCCGGCAAAGAGAACTATATCTTGTTTGCTAAAGTTTCTTGTAAGCCAGTCCACCCCAAGCTAAGCGTAACAGACCCAGAGTTTGAGACTGAATACTGTACCTAGGCTATCATGATCCTGACCTTGCGTTTTGTCCTGTTTTGCTTCAGCCAAGAAACTACGGTGTAAGCCTGGAAGGTGGTGTAGTGGAAGAGCGTTGTTTGTTGTATTGATGATGGAGCCTCTAGGGCAGCCATGGTGCATAGAGAGGTACAGGCACTAGTAGATCGTGGCTTGCCCTGGCTACACATGGTCTTTAATCTCCAGAAGTACGCTTCTTTATCTTTGTACTTAGTCTCTTTTGTCTTTTTGTAGTCGCGTTTTTGAAGCCCTCGACTTCTTTCTTGATGATGTTAAAGTCTTTCTGAAGTGTATGAGATTCCTCTCTGGAATCTTGATCATCTTCTCTTAATGAATGGGACGATAGACCAGGACACTGATAAAGTTATGAATCATTTAGAGTTCGTCCTCATCTAGCTCGGAAACACTTTCTTCGCGGTCATTTCCAGTTGCCCAGCAAAAGTAATAATCGCGGAAGGTTTCCCTGACTCAGAGACACGCTCTTGTACGACATGACTTTTGTGTGTACCTTAGGATAGGAACATGTAGAATAGGGTATTGCATGTTGACCATAGTGGCCTCTTCCCTGACAGCCCCTGTAGACCAGGCTATGCCGCAACTGTATAATCTACCTTGTATCAAACTAATAACGGGGAGACTGGGAAGAAATAAAGCCACCCGCTAAAGAGAGTGTCAACCTGTTGATGCATGGGGTAGTCGCTTGGTAGATAGTTCATGGGCCCAGAGTATGGCTACCCACAGAATGAATATGGCAGCCTTCTGCCCTATCAGCGTGACCAACAGGAAGGACTACGATTCGTAGAATACGATACGTTACGATCACGTGCATCGTAGAGTTGTAGTGGGTCTCTGAGTTGTATCGCATTGCACTTAAGCCTGAAAAGTATATCGTATTACGACTTGTATAGACTTTTTTGGTGGTGAGGTTTGAGGTGAGGCCTAAGGTGAGGTTGTCGTTGTATGTACAGAGCACGCAAGGGCTATAGGCAGTGATCGTATGAAAAAAACAGTAAGGAATCACCTATTTTCGCATTGTCTATCTCATAACCTGTTTAATGTATACAGATCCACTTGGTTGGTGGCTCTAGATTGGTCGTTCACGGTACCCTACCGTTTTCAAGATAGCCCTTGATTTCCTCTCCATACTAGCTACTAGTTGCGACTGCGAGAGAGCTTTCTTTGGAGGCCGAAGGACTGTTACTTTTAAGAGGAATCTCCTTAGTGGAGCAACAATTTAAGCGGTACAGCTGCAAAAGAATTAGCTTTATTATAGGCTGGTTGCTAGTAAGCTTAGTGAGTTAGTTAATTACATAAAATCCGCCCTATCTAATTGTACTATGAACCAATTCTTGGCAATTGTATTGTAAGTACGGTGAATTGGTTTGTACTGACTACGACTTGTAGTCCCCTCTGCTCCTCTAGTAATCGTATAATTGTACTAACAAACCGAGTCGTAGGGCGGTTGAAAACTCCCAGTCGAATCGTATTACTTCCGATTGGTTACGCTGTGCCCTATGCGGCATCCAAACTTGCTAGGTCCCCTACCAATCACAGGATTTATCTGTTCTTTATCTTTGGTGAAGCTTCCAAGGATATAACAGGCCTGATTTGGTATATTGTGAACCTTATGGGAGGACCAGAGGGATGATGAACTGAATTGATTGCTAAAGGAGGGTAACCAAGGGTTTATATAGTTCTGAGTGAACCTGTCATGTGACCCAAGGCTACCACTAACTTAGGCAGTAGCAGGTGAAAGTAGTATCAAGTGACCAGAGCTTGGAGAGCTCTGTGGCTGCACACATATATGTACATTCTGTTTAGAGAAGAATACTATCGCTCAACGATGATAAAATCGCTTTGAATATGCCACGATACTGATCTGATTTTCTAGTGCAACCAGGATGCGCCCCATATACAGCGTAAATACCATGACGCCTAGTTTATTAAATGAGCGGATTAATAGGATGATTGAAAACGCCGCAAGGGTAGCCAACCCGTTTGTGTAACGAAAGCTGTGGGCCATGCAGAGGCATGGATAAGGAAGACGGCTGAACGAGGTGGCGTAATGAGAATAAAATGTTACAAAGACTAGAAAAACCGCTCATTGGGATACAGACTTTCTTTTAGGACCCACTGACCCGGTGAACGTTATTAGAGATGAATTGATAGTTTGAGTTGCTCGACGATGGCAGCACGCAGAACGATCGACGGCTGATTCTAGCAAGATTGACTAGGTGCATGTTGACTACTACAGATGGGATTTGCGAGCACGTAAAAGGTGAGCCAAGGTTCCATCCTCCTAAAGCTTTGCTATGCGCGAAGTCTTCACGCTGGCGCCTTCTCGTTTCTTGTTTGTGAGAACGTCAACAATGACAGCCTGCAAAGTCGATAGAGCCTCCTCACATATTTGGTAATGCGTGACAACTCTTTTACCCATCAATCTGATACCCTGTCTTTCGCCGGCTTCGTTCCACTCCTTGTCTGTCACATTGGAGGCATCTAAGTCTAGCCATACTATATTTGTCTCCACGGGCCTGAGCAATTTGCCTCCGTTCTCAGCCCATAGCTTCCCAATTATTGTGGCTAACTTGTGGCTTTTCTTTAACACTCCTCTCAAATCCCGCTGGCCCATGCCAAAGTTCTCCAGGAGCGCTTGCCTTGCTGCTGCTGCAAGGACACCAGATTGGCGCATGCCGCCACCAATGCTCTTGCGGATCCGATGCAGACGTTTGATCAATTTTGCGGACCCGACAACCATAGCGCCCATTGGCGCACAGAGACCCTTGCTAAAGTCGAGGGTCACCACGTCAGAGCATTGGGCAAACTCTGCAACGGTACCGGCCCCTGCCGAAATGGCTTCCCATAATCTTGCACCATCGATATGCACGTATACTCCAACACTCTCTGCCCAGCTTTTGACTCTGCGCAGTTCTTCCAACGGAACTATGTTCCCATTTGAGGTATTTTCAATGCTCACAATCCGTGTGGGACATTTGTGGACGTCATCTGACAAGACGGCGTATTTTTGAACATCTTCCAATGTCAGATACATCCCGTTGTGCGGTCGTACTGCTTGCAACATCGCCCCAGATAAGTGGGCAATTCCGCCTGCTTCCCAGTTGACTATATGTGCATCTGCGTCCGCAAGAATAGCATGGGGAGGCTGCCATAGCAGGGATCGCAGAGCTAGCTGGTTCGCCATGGTCCCAGAGATGACGAAGGCAGCGGTTTCGTGGTGGCAGAGATTGGCTATCTCTTGCTCGAACTTCATGGTCGTGTTGTCTTCGCCATAAACATCGTCATTCAAGGTAGTTCGGGTAATGGCGCGGAGCATGTTCACAGAGGGAGTAGTGATAACATCGCCTATAGCAAATTAGCGACAAGGCAACACAGGAGGACGATTGGACTATTACTTCTGAAATCGAATGCTGATCCGGTCTGTTTGGGAGAGCCCCAGTTTGTATTATGCTCTTCGACTAGGCACGAGTCGTAAGGTAAAATCGAGTATTTCATTTTGTCCATCTCAAATCTCGCAGGTTCAGAATGGAGTAATGGAAAATAGCATGGGAAGTTGCCCTCGGTAAAGAAGGGATGCTGCTCATGGCATACCTCACATAAGCGGCGGTGCCCTAAGAGGCCTATCACAACCTCTAGAGCCCGACCTGTGATGCAATCTTTTACTCGATGGGAACCTCGAATGTTGGTACAGTACAAATCCGTGGAGTCCAGATGGAAAGCAGGTATTGGCGAGGGGCGGGAGGCATTGGTGCCCTAAGGCGGCTCGTCTGGGCCGCTCCTGGTCCTCAACCCGCCCCCACTGAACGGTCTCCTGTTTGGAATATGCATTCATGTTGAGCTTGGCGCCATGCCGGTTTTCAGCGCCCGCCCTGGGCTAGCGCTGCTGGGGCGTCTGCTAGCGCTGATAATTCTCTGCACATGTTCTCCAGACCCGGTTTCTTTCTTTAGCCAGTCGCTGGTGATGATCGATATGTACGCCTGTGGCGCGTTTGGCGAGGCGGTAGTTTAGCGAGATTATTTATCCTTTCTTATCGGGGCAAAATAACAAGGGAGGATGTAAGTAAGCGTAAGACTACGCCCGGTAATAACAGCAGAAGGCAGACTTTGCAGTTGCTAGTCAAGTCATTGTCAGAGGTCTATCATCAAATATCACAAATTGTGATCGGCCGTAGGAACCACAGATATAGTTGAATAAGGAAGTGCAAAGTGTTCGAACGGTCTTTGGACTTCTACATGTATGGCGGGTGGTCCGCTGGCAGCGTTTGAAGGGGAACGTTTCGTGCGACTGCGTGATGTAATCTGGTTGGTCTGGTTCCTGCAGCTGTGCTTCGCAATAATATGAATGTCTGTGCGAATCCCTTGATGTGTAGGGCCTTGTTCTGCCTAACCAAGCCACTATCACATCACTCACAATTCCGTTCCCAACTCATCCGGCCCCCTCATAGATGTGCTGGCCTTTTGCGATAATTCCCATCTCGCCGTCAACTAGAGTGCAGTAGGCCTTCAATCGCTTGGGTTGCCTTCCCTCTACGTAAGAGCGCGGCTCGCATTGTCCTCGCATCAGCGCCGCAGTTATCGAGATCCTTCAACCATAGCGAAACAGAGCTACCTCGCATTTCTGGACGAGTCAACGTAGAAGATGGTGCAAACAAAATCACCCGCCACCTTGACGATATCCGTCCTTATCCCGCACCGCGTTCGCAGGAAATGGAGGGCCACGCGCTCGCACATACACAGTCGTCTCTCTTGCACGTCGTCCGTCGCTTCTCTTCAGACGTCCTTCTCACCCGCCGACACGCTGCGCTCGTTGCGAACACACGCCTGGTCGATATACGACGTACAGTATCTAATTGTGGCCATTGTGCTCATCTTCTCTCTGTCCGTCAGCGAGTCGCCGGGTCCCTTTGCGAAGACGTTCATGGCGGGGTTGCTTATGGGCGGTCTCGTTCTTCCTATCACTCGACAATGTCTTCTCCCATTTCTTCCTACCCTTGCATGGCTCCTTCTTTTTCCTAGCTGCAAATACATTCCCGCCGATTATAGACCCGCCATCTGGGTCCGGGTTCTCCCCACGCTCGAAAACATACTTTATGGCGCCAATCTGAGCAACATCCTCTCCGCCCACAAACACCCCATCTTGGACATATTGGCTTGGATACCGTACGGCGTGATGCACTATGTTTCGCCCATCATCGTTAGTGGATGTATGTTCATCTGGGGCCCGCCCGGCACCCTCCCTACTTGGGCACGCGCATTCGGGTACATGAACGTGACTGCCGTCATCATTCAGATCATCTTTCCCTGTTCTCCCCCATGGTACGAGAATACGTACGGATTTGCCCCTGCCAACTATTCCATACCAGGTGACGCCGCAGGATTGAAGGCTGTCGATACGCTGTTAGGCATTGATCTCTGGACTTCGGCATTTCATGCTTCGCCTTTGGTATTTGGCGCCTTTCCATCACTGCACTCTGGCTGGGCAACCCTGGAGGCGCTGTTTATGGGCCATGTCTTTCCAAAACTGTTCCCGGTGTACGTTTTCTACACAATGTGGCTGTGGTGGTCCACTATGTACTTATCCCATCATTATGCCGTTGATCTAGTTGGGGGTAGCTTGCGTAAGCTTGTCGCATTCAAGCAAAGCCATTGTTACTAACGATCTCAGTCGCCGGCATTGCCTATTTTTGGGCCCGCGCTAAGTTCCTGCCTGGCGTGCAGCCCCACAAGGACTTTCGCTGGGATTACGATTACGTCGAGGAGGGGGATCCTCAAGATACCGGCTACAACATGCGCGATATTTACGAAGACTCTGCACCGCAGTCGGGTTCCGATATTTGTGCGAGTGGGTCTTCTTCATCCTACTCCACTGGTGGCAGAAGTCCCGCCAGACCTCATTCACCGGTAGATGACACCCAAAGCTTGTGAGACAGTGACGTCGTTCGATCCGAAAGGTAATCTCTCCGGTGGTCCATCGTTGCTTCATCTCAACTTCCAGTCCCCAAGATCGTCTCCCAGTACTACGCCGTGCCTGACCTTCACGATTTAAGCACGGAACAGAGTTCAAGCATTTCCAGAGAAACTATAACCCATCGATTTCTACTTTCCTGTTCAGCATGAAGAAGTGAGCATTGCAAAATGGCGCAATTCGGGCATTTCCTGGGCTCACATCTGGATGGCCATTGGTCTGTTGTGGTTCATTTCCATTTCTGTACCTTGTTATTCGGATAGACATCCTATTGCTCGCTTCCGGTATATTGAGCGGTCGCATTTGTTCTTGGACATCCGCTGATATATGCAGCTGCGGCCTTGCTGTCTGAAGGGCTTAATGCTTTATGTCAAGTATTATGGGGGGTCTGGTACAATGGCCGCACGGACTAGGAATGGAAGGCTGTTATATTGACCGATAAGCCCTTAAAGATGACCATTTGATAGATATGCTCAATGAAGTGTGGAAAGAGTATCAAAGAACCCTTGCAATTGTTTTGTACCTATAGTGGCAAGTATAAACATTACAGATCATGCGAGAAAAGCGGTAGCCGGTCGGTGAGGCAAGGGTAGCCGCGATGTGAGGTTCAGATGACTAAGATACTTCTTGAAGTAGTTAACGTGTTGCATCACTCCTCAGCAACACCAGTCCTCGGGCCACACCAAAACCCACCAAGCATGACGAAAATCGCACCTCAAGATCTCCACAACAGCTAAGCAGAAAGATATAATATTTTAATATTAACGTTTTATGCCTCTTCTAAGATTTTAATTAAAGTCTTATATTTAAGCAGTTGCTTAGAAATCACGTTTAGGGGCTAACATAAGGCTAAAACCAGGGTTAAATGTAACATCTTAATAATTAGTGTATAGTTATATTTCTTCTCAGTATATATATACACTATATTCTAGAGAGGCAAGAAGGACTATCTTGACAATCCTAGACTGCTCTGCTTAGCTGTTGTTAAGATCTTAGGGTGCGATTTTCGTCATTTTCGGTCGATTTTAGGGTGGCCCGAGGACTAGTATTTCCTGAGTAGTGGAACACGTCAACGTGTTTTCCTCATCCGGAAAAGGGGGAAAATTGTACCTTAATATCCCATCAACGCCTTGATTAAAAAGTCTGAAAATCTACCCCTAATCTTAAGTACCTATCTTAAGATTCACGTTAAAGGTTCTATAGTAATAGGCTAACGTACCCTATAGGCATGTTACTTACACACCTAAGTTACTTACTTTTACTAAAACTACACTAAAATACTCTTTCTATATTAATACACTCTTAATAACACTGCTTAGATGTGTTAAAAGAATGTTAGATATAGTTTACACTCTAGGCTTTTAAATAAAATGCAACACTCTCTAAGTAACGTACTATAGCTATGTACTGTAACAGCACAGGCAAGACGATGGGTCCGAATGCGGTATGAATCCACTCAGAGGCATATGGGAGTGCGTGGGGACTCAGAAACCTGGGAATGCCATTGACGCCTATAGGCCTTGTACAAAGGATATTAGAAAACTACTAAGATAGCTACAGGGAAGAGGTGCGACTAAATACTTGGGGGAATAGGGGTACAGCAGGGGCTAGGGCAGGGTCGGAGCAGATATAAGGAACCTTCGAATATCAGCTCGTCGGACAACTTGAGATGGAACAATTCATGCGAATCGTTACATGTACAAGGCCTTTTAAAAGATAATAAATAACGAATACACTAGACAACTTTTACAAGCTAATTCTACAGCTAAGTTATAAAGGCTAGATAATGACAAGAAGTAAGTAATTATTAAGCACATACTTAAGCTAGATGCGTAAGAATTTTCCTCTTAGATAGTAGCTGTGGCTAATATAGCTAATTCATTACACGCTAAGTGTAATCTAGGCTATGTAACGGCGCAGGCAAGACAATGGGTCCGAATGCAGTAGGAATCCACTCAGAGGCATATGGGAGTGCGTGGGGACTCAATGACCTGGGAATACCATTGACACCTATAGGCCTCGTACAAAAGGATATCAGAAAACTACCAAGCTAGGTAAGGGGAGAGGTGCGACTAATTACTTGGGGGAATAGAGGTAACCGCGGGGAGCAGGCCAAGTCAGGGGGTCGGGGCCGATACGGGGACCCTTCGGATAGGTTCCGAGCAACCCGAGATGGAACGATTCATGAGAATCGCTACAGGCTATGTTAGTATAAACTAGCCTAGTATGTTTATTAAGCATTATCTAAAGCTTAAAGCAAAGTTTAAGTATAACTATAACTATAAAAAAGTACTTTATAACAATTCTAGAGTAATTTAAGGCTAGTTTAGCCTTGTAGAGAATATTAAAGCTTAGTATAGCATCTAGAATAATAATAAATAAGATAAGCTTTATAATAGGCTAGATATTTACTAATTATACTTACACTTAAACTTTAGTTTAAGCTCTAGATAACACTTAATAAACATACTAAGCTAGTTTATACTAAAATACCCTAAATTATACTTAGCGCATAAAGAATTAGCTATATTAGCTATAGCTACTAGCTAAGAGGAAAAGTCTTACACATCTAGCTTAAGTATATGCTTAATTATTACTTACTTCTTGTTATTATCTAGCCTTTATAAGCTAGCTGTAGAATTAGCTTGTAAAAGTTGTTTAGCGTGTTAGCTATTTATTATCTTTTAAAACACTTTGTACATAGCTATCGCATGTTGCTTAGAGAGTGTTGCGTTTTATTTAAAAGCCTAAAGTATAAGCTGTATCTAACATTCCTTTAACACATTTAAGTAGTGTTAATAGAAATGCATTAGTGTAAAAAAAGTAGTTTAGTATACTGTTAGTAAAAGTAAGTAACTTGTCTATAGAGTACGTTATAAGATTAAAGTAGCTATGTATAATAATAAAATCTTTACAATATAAATAGTAATAGTTATATTAATAAAAATATATTATATAAAGCATTAGCTAGCTTTTAATAAAGTTTCTAGCCTAGTTCTTACTAATAGTAGAAGGTAAAGTTTAGCTATAGTTTATAAAGATAATATTAGCTATTTATAATATAACAAGAATTTTGGAAGAAAATCTGTGCATGGTAAAGTTAAGAACATGCTAAAGAAGAACTTTTTTCTTATTAGAAGTAAGTTTACACGTTAATAGCTAAGTATTATGTCTTAAAGAGGTACTGTGATAGCGCGTAGCTAAGTTGGAATAAGGAACGTCGTACTAGCGGGCTGCAGCACAGAGACTTTGAAAATAACCTAAATTATAAGCTTGAACAGCTAAAGAGAGCCTGCCTTCGAGTTTATGTTGGTTACAATTAGGCTTTGTTGAACTATGAGTATTGAAAGGTGTCGCTACGCGACGCGCGGTGGAGCTGTCCAGCTCGCTTGTCAAACATGTTACGGCAACCTATAATTACAAATGCCAACATCACGTTTGAAAGAGCGGCATTCCAATGCCCTGACAGAGCAGGGTTTGAAATTTTCCATGGCCTCGATTTGGAGTTTGCAGGCTATGCCGTTTCACTCATGTCAAAGTTCTATTACGGAAAGGCTTCAATTGATGCCGAAACATTTCGACACTAGGACTGCATCCCAAAGTCGACCTCCAAGGATAAGGCTGGGCTTATTTCGAGCGCAACAAGGCGTGCCGGGTAAATTGGTGCCAACCGCGGAGCGCAAGGATACGTATTTTGGAGCTACTGCGGGGCGGTTTCTTTGTCAGAGGCATGTTCAACATATTGTATGCATTTCAAATGCCTATCATCCTTGGTAGCACCGAATTGGTGCACCTAAGGCAGTTGCTTTATGCGGATGGTGGGTGTTGTCATCCCAACTAAGCTTAGCGTGGTGCTATGTCGGCAGCTCCTCGGTCGATTGCTTTTGCGACTCAATCTTAACTCAACATCCTAGCGCTATTGCTTTCGTCGAACGCCATTGCGGCACAGCTGTTGGTACTATGCCGCGCTCCACGTTTCAGCAACCCCACTGACATTTCAGCAGCTCCACTGACATTTCAGCAGCTCCACGAGGATCTGCCATGATAAACAACATTTGCTCTGTGCGTGGAATCTGTGAACCAATGCAGCAAACGCCATCACGAGTGTTCTAGCTAGCGTTTGACGTTCATCACGCTCATCATCTACTCCGCCATCTGTCCATACTTACCCACACTGTCGGGCCGGGTATCCAACATGAGAGGACAAGGCGTAATGTCGGACGCCTTGTCCTGGAGGACGAACTTTGGATCACGCTGTTCCGCCCGCCTAGGAAGGAAAGCTTGGCACGATCTCACGTAATCAGAGACCCCTGACTTAACACGAACCAGCTTCGGGCCAACAGTTTCTAACTGTGCATCACTTGTTTTCCCGGCGTGCTCGTTCACAATCTTCCCTTAAACGTTAGTACCAGGCGTAATCCAACGATTTCTACATTATAGTGGCGTTTGCTGAGCCCATAAGTGGGCGCACGAAGTCTCGCCACAATACACCTTGCCAACGGCGCTGCAAGCGTACATTCCAATAGGAGCAAGCGGCCGAAGAGCGAGATTGAGCCATGTCTAGGTACGCCATACGCAATGCAAAGGGAATTCCCTGGCCGGTAGCAAGCAGTACTTCACACCTGGACCTCACCTCTTACCATGTACCATCTCCAGTGACGAGGAACTGCCAAACATATTCTTCAAACCGCTATCCTTACAATTTTACATAAACTTCACAAACGACAAAAAAAAAAAAAAACATCAGTTGTCTCGATATCAGATGGTCTCAGTTCAAGTAGGAGATATAGGCCTGGAAGCGCTGCAGGGTATGGAAGGCGAGGACTTTCAAGATGTATGGCGCCGTAACCAAGTCGTACCGGAAAGCGTCGAGCAGTGCGTTCATGAGCTCATCAAGACAATTGCTCAACGCACTCCCAACTCGATCGCCATTCACGCGTGGGACGGCGAGATGACGTATGGCGAGCTGGACGCGATGTCGACCAAGCTGGCCGGGCACCTTGTCTGGCTGGGTGTCAAACAAGAAGCCATTGTGCCACTATGCTTTGAGAAGTCCATGTGGACCGTGGTCGCGATGCTGGCGGTACTCAAGGCAGGCGGAGCTTTCGTGCCTCTGAACCCAGAGCATCCAAGAAATCGCCATGAAGAGATCTTCGACCAGACAGGAGCCACCGTTATGCTAACGTCTGCACAATACGCGACGCTTTGGGAGCATGCGAACCACACTGTAGCTACCGTCAGCGGACCATCCATCGACAGGCTTGTCAGCAAAGTTGACGTGAACCTTCCGGTAGTGAAGACAAGTAACGCTGCGTATGTGATTTTTACGTCAGGAAGTACTGGTACACCCAAAGGTGTTGTGTTGGAACACGGAGCGATCTCCACAAGCTGCGTGAACCATGGCGAAGCCTTTGAACTCACACCGCACACGCGAGCTCTACAGTTCGCCTCGTACACTTTCGACGCTTGCATCACTGAGATCATTACCACACTGGTGTTTGGAGGCTGTGTGTGCGTCCCCTCTGAGGGCGATCGTGGCAACAATCTCGTTAAAGCCATAAACACCATGGCAGTGAACTGGGCGTTGCTGACTCCGACTGTAGCACGATTGCTGGAGCCCAAAGAAATACCTACCCTGGACATATTGGTTCTTGGAGGAGAGGCCGTCACCTACAACGACTGTCAAAGATGGGATAGCTATGTCAAAGTGATAAATACGTATGGACCAACGGAGTGCTCCGTATGGTGTACCTCATATCACGGTACACAGAGTTTCAAGTCAGGCACCATTGGAAAATCCATCGCTTCCGTGAGCTGGGTAGTAGACCCAGAAGACCACAACAAACTGCCTCCTGTAGGATCGATCGGAGAGCTCCTGATTGAGGGACCAATTCTCGCCCGCGGCTACCTCAACGACGCTGGGAAGACAAATGCAGCATTCATCGACGATCCCGCCTGGCTGTTGGAGGGCGGCGAAGGCCATCCCGGGAGACACGGCAGGATGTACAAGACGGGAGACCTGGTTTACTACAGGCCTGACGGCAATCTGGTCTATGTGGGCCGCAAAGACGAGCAAGTCAAGGTGCGAGGCCAGCGAGTCGAGCTCGGCGAGATTGAGCACCACCTGCGGGAGTGCATTCCCGAGGTCAAGTTGATGACAGTGGAGGTCATCATGCTCAAGGGCCAGAATCAAAATGCGATGCTAGCTGCTTTCCTGCAGTGGGATGTTGAGCTGGAGAATGCAGTTCTGGCTGATATGGCAACTGAGACTAGTTCTCTGGCGCGAGTCATCTTGCCAGTCGAAGCAGACAAGAAGTTGGCGGAGCGGCTGCCAGGCTACATGGTCCCGGAAGTGTACTTCGCCGTTGCACAGCTGCCGATGACAGTGTCCGGAAAGACGGACAGGAAACGACTACGGGAGATCGGAGCGTCGTTCTCAGCCCAGCAGCTGGCGGAGATGCGGACATCAAGCCAGGGACCGAAACGACTACCATCGACCGAGGCAGAGAAGGCGATGCAGCAGCTGTGGGCGAGGGTGCTAGGCATTGAGCCGGAGAGTATTGGGCTGGACGACAGCTTCTTCCGCCTCGGCGGTGACTCGATCGCAGCCATGAAGCTGGTCAGTGAAGCCCGCAGGATGGGATTGCACCTGAGCGTGGCAGACATATTCCGCCATCCTACACTCTCAGCCCTTGCTGGCTTAGACTACCACCACAGTGACAGCGCTGCAGAAGACATCCCTCCCTTCTCTCTGCTGGGCGAAGTGGTGGACGGGGCCACCATCCGCGAGGAAGCGGCCGTCAGCTGCAGTGTTGACGCTGGCCTCGTCGAGGACTTATACCCATGCTCGCCGCTGCAGGAAGGGCTAGTGTCGCTAACATCCAAGCGAGCAGGCGACTACATCATGCAGGGCGTGCTGGAGCTGCGGTCTGACATAGACGAAGAGGCTTTCCGAGCTGCCTGGGGGCACGTCGTCCGGTCAATGACAGTGTTGCGTACCCGGATCGTCCAGAATAGCAAACTTGGCTTGCTGCAGGCCGTGATAGCAGAGGACATCCGTTGGACAGAGGCTAAGGAACTCGAGGAGTACCTTGAGAAGGATAAGTCAGTGTCCATGGGACTCGGCGATCCTTTGACACGCTACACCATCGTCAAGGAAGCGCAGGGAGGGAGGCGCTGGATGGTGTGGACGGTTCACCACGCGCTGTACGACGGCTGGTCGCTGCCCCGAGTTATAGACGCGGTAACCAAGGCGTACACTGAGGGTGTGGTAGAACAGCAGCCTGGTTTCCATGCCTTTGCCAAGTATCTCAGCCAGCAAGACCATGAGGCGGCTGCAGCGTACTGGCACGCCGCTCTGACTGACTGCCAGGCGGCACCGTTCCCTCCGCTTCCAGCGGTGGTGCAGCAGCCGGTTGCGGATGCGATGATGGACTATCAGTGCCCTCCGTTGCCCAAAGCACCCTCTGATACGACGACGTCAACGCTCATTCATGCCGCCTGGGCCGTCATCGCTAGTCGATACACCAACTCGGACGACGTGGTGTTTGGCACTACAGTCACGGGACGCAATGCACCTGTCGCCGGCATTGAAGCCATGATCGGACCCACAATTGCCACTGTGCCGGTGCGAGTGCGAGTGGCAGGCAAGCAGACAGTATCTGCTTTCCTGAAAGCCTTGCAGCAGCAGGCGACGGACATGATCCCGTACGAGCAGACGGGGCTGCAGCGGATCGCCAAGGTGGGAGCGGGCGCGCGGCATGCCTGCGGCTTCCAGACGCTGCTTGTAGTCCAGCCTGCAAGAGATGCTGCTCGCAGCGATCAGTTACTAGGAGAGTTGCTTGACCGCTCCGAGCTGCAGGAATTCTCGACTTATGGGCTGATGTTGCAGTGTACATTGGCCGCAGAAGGAATTCGCATCACAGCAAGCTTCGACGAGCGGGCGGTGGAGGAGTGGCTAGTCAAGAAGCTGCTGGACCAGTTCAGCTATATCATGCAGCAGCTGGCCAGAGCAGATCCAGAGACAATTATAGCGGACATCAACGCCCTCACGCCAGGGGACAGAGAGGAGCTATGGGCATCGAACCGTGAGATACCGGCGGCGGTCGACCGATGTGTCCACGATCTGTTCGAAGAGCAAGCAAGGGCGCGGTCCGAGGCGCCTGCCGTCTGCGCGTGGGATGGTGAGCTGACATATAGCGAGCTGGATGCGTTGTCGACTAGACTGGCAAGCCACCTCGTCGGGTTGGGTGTTAAGCCAGAAGACATTGTGCCGCTGTGCTTCGAGAAGTCGATGTGGACCGTGGTCGCGATGCTGGCCGTGCTGAAGGCCGGTGGAGCGTTTGCATCCCTAAACCCAGAGCATCCAAGAACTCGCCACGAGGAGATTTTAAAGCAGACAGGAGCTACTCTGATCCTGACATCAACACAATGCTCCCTGCTTTGGAAATTTACGGCCCGGTCTGTTTTCGCAGTCAGTGAATCAACCATCAATAAGCTACCTTTACAAACCGGTGAGCTTCATTCTACAGTAACAGCAAATAATGCTGCGTACGTCATCTTCACGTCCGGCAGTACTGGAATACCAAAAGGCGTCGTACTGGAACACCAAGCGCTCTCCACCAGTTGCCTGAACCACGGCAAAGCGTTGGGATTCACACCGTATACCCGAGCTCTTCAGTTCGCCTCGTACACCTTCGATGCTTGCGTTGCCGAGATCCTCACTACGCTTGTACATGGTGGAGGAGTTTGCGTCCCATCGGAAGACAGTAGGCGTAATGACCTTACTAACACCATCAACAGCATGAACGTGAATTGGCTTTTCTTGACTCCTTCCGTTGCGCGAGTGATAGATCCCACAGAAGTGCCTTCGCTTACGACACTCGCACTTGGTGGAGAATGGGTTGACCACGTGGATTGGAAAAAATGGATGAACCATGCTGAGATGATGACTGTGTATGGCCCTACTGAGTGTTGTATTTTCAGCAGCGCTTGTTTTAGGCCACTAGAATTCAAGTCTGGAACTATTGGTAAGTCCATCGCTTCCGTGAGCTGGGTAGTCGACCCAGAAGACCACAACAAATTGCATCCCGTAGGATCGATTGGAGAGCTCCTGATTGAAGGACCCATCCTTGCCCGTGGCTACCTCAACGATATCGAGAAGACAAATGCAGCGTTCATCAATGATCCCGCCTGGCTGTTGGAGGGCGGCGAAGGCCATCCCGGGAGACACGGCAGGATGTACAAGACGGGAGACCTGGTCTACTACGGGCCTGGCGGCAATCTGGTCTATGTGGGCCGCAAAGACGAGCAAGTCAAGGTGCGAGGCCAGCGAGTCGAGCTCGGCGAGATTGAGCACCATTTACGGGAGTGTATTCCCGAGGTCAAGTTAATGACAGTGGAGGTCATCATGCCCAAGGGACAGAATCAAAATGCGATGCTAGCTGCCTTCCTGCAGTTGGACGTTAAGATAGAGAGTGCACTTTTGACTGACAAGCCAACTGAGACTAGTTCGCTGGCGCGAGTCATCTTTCCAGTCGAAGCAGACAAGAAGTTGGCGGAGCGTCTGCCGGGCTACATGGTCCCGGACGTGTACTTCGCCGTTGCACAGCTGCCGATGATGGCATCCGGAAAGACGGACAGGAAACGACTGCGGGAGATCGGGGCGTCGTTCTCAGCCCAACAGCTGGCGGAGATGCGGACATCAAGCCAGGGACCGAAACGACTACCATCGACCGAGATAGAGAAGGCGATGCAGCAGCTGTGGGCGCGGGTGCTGGGCATTGAGCCGGAGAGTATTGGGCTGGACGACAGCTTCTTCCGCCTTGGCGGTGACTCGATCGAAGCCATGAAGCTAGTCGGCGAAGCTCGCAGGATGGAGGTGCAGCTAAGCGTTGCAGACATCTTCCGCAATCCGGGGCTGGACCAGCTGGCCTCTGCAGCCATTGGTTTCGCCGACAGCACTGTTTCTACTATCCCGCACATTGATCATGTGGGGCCTGCGGAGCAATCGTTTGCACAGGGCCGACTGTGGTTCTTGGAGCAACTGTATCCTGGCTTGAACTGGTACCTTATGCCGTTCGCTGTGCGCATCAGGGGCCCGCTTCAGCTGACTGCGCTCAACACGGCTCTTCTCGCGATTGAGAGTCGCCACGAGACGCTCCGGACAACCTTCGCTACCAATGGCGGTGTCAGTGTGCAGATGGTTCAACCATTCCGCGCCAAAGAACTCAACGTCATAGACATTCTCCCAGACGATGAACGGGGTCTTGCGGACGCCGTGCAGCAGGACCAGACAACTCCCTTCGACCTGCGCAATGAGCCTGGATGGAGAGTATCTGTTTACCAAATACAGAAAAATGATCACTTGCTGTCCATCGTTATGCATCACATCGTTTCCGACGGCTGGTCTGTCGATGTGCTTATGCGCGAACTGGCTGCGTTCTACTCCGCCGCGATGCGCAGCCAGGACCCACTATCCCAGGTACACCCTCTGCCCATCCAGTACCGAGACTTCTCTGTGTGGCAGAGACAAAAACCCCAGGTCGAGGAGCACCAAAGACAGCTCAGCTACTGGCTCACGCAGCTCCAGGGAAGCCGACCGGCAGAGCTGCTCTGCGATAAGCCCAGACCCGCGACTCTGTCTGGAAAAGCTGATATGCGAACGCTAGAGATCAGCGGCCCGCTGTATGCGGAGTTGCAGGAATTCTGCAAAGCGCACGGGGTGACTCTATTCGTGGCTCTTCTCGCTGCATTTAGAGCTACGCACTTCCGCCTTACTGGCCAGGACGATGCCACCATTGGCACTGCAAATGCAAATCGGGACCGTTGGGAGGTAAAAGACATTATTGGATTCTTTGTGAACATGCAGTGCCTTCGGATCACAATTCATGACGAGAGTTTTGAAGAACTAGTTCAACAGGTCCATGCTGTAGCAGTTGCATCGCTTTCGAATCAGGACGTGCCGTTCGAGAGCATTGTCTCGCAACTGAAGCCTGACCGAGACCTGTCTCGTCATCCACTTGTTCAGCTTGTCTTTGCGGTGCACTCGCAGCGAAACCTGGGACAACTAATACTAGAAGGGGTGGAAACAGAGAGTATGCATGTCTCAGTAACCTCAAGGTTTGACCTGGAGTTTCATTTCTTCCAAGAGCCCTCCGGCCTACAGGGCAACGTCTTTTTCTCAACAGATCTCTATGCGCCTGAGACAATTGACAACATGCTGTCGCTCTTTCACAACATCCTCCAAGTGTCCCTGAGAGAGCCAAAGACAGCAGTTGCCTCTTTACCCCTCCTAACTAAGGCCCAATATTCCAGGCTTGACAGGATGGGGCTTGTTCAGATTGAGCAAACAAACTACCCGCGCGACTTAAGCATTGTCGACCTCTTCATCCAGCAAGCTTCGGCACATCCATCCAGGATCGCCGTCACAGACGCTTCAGCGGAGATGAGCTACGCTGAGCTGGACAGGGAATCAGATCTTCTTGCTCGGTGGCTGGTACGGCGCTTGTTCCCGCCTGAGAGTCTAGTCGGCGTGCTCTCAAGTCGAAGCTGTCAAACCATCGTTGCGTTCCTGGGCATTCTGAAGGCCAACCTGGCGTACCTACCGTTCGATGTTAAAATACCAGGGAAGCGCATGGAAGCTATCCTTTCGTCCCTTCCAGGCCAGAGGGTCATCTTGCTTGGATCTGGCGTGCAAGCTCCGAAAGTGAAGCTGAGCAACATCGAGTTCGTCCGCATTACCGAAGTCCTGAACCAGCAGGCTAACGATGATTCTGTGGGGTATAGATCTGCCATGGCGATCGGGCCGTCAGCTACCAGCCTTGCATATGTTATGTTCACCTCGGGATCGACGGGCCAGCCCAAGGGAGTCATGGTAGAGCATCGCGGCATTGTGCGCCTGGTTAGAGACAACAACCTCGTACAGCACCTACCAGCATCGCGAGTCATGGCTCACATGACAAATCTTGCCTTCGACGTCTCAACATGGGAGATTTATGCCTGTCTCTTAAACGGCGGAACGCTCGTTTGCATTGACGCAATGATAGTGCTGGACCCAGATGCTATAGCTGAGATATTTAATCAACGCTCCATTCAGATGGCCGTGCTCACACCAGCCTTGTTTAGACAGTACACTCTAGAGTCTTCTTCGATATTCGCCACAATTGAAATGCTTTGTGTGGGGGGTGAAGCAATGTACCCGAAGGACTACTTTGCAGCGGAAAGAAGCCTCACCGGTAAGGTTATTAATTGCTATGGTCCGACAGAGAACACAGGCATCAGCGCGACCTTCGTCCTACACAAAGAGGAGAAGTTCACCAACGGTGTGCCAATCGGCCGGGCGTTGAGCAACTCAGGCGCCTACGTTATGGATCCGGAGATGCGACTGGTGCCGCTAGGGGTCATCGGAGAGCTCGTGGTCACGGGTGACGGTTTAGCACGGGGCTACATTGAGCCCCAGGGAGACATCGATAGGTTTGTTACTGTCACAGTCGCTGGCCGGATGGTGAGAGCCTATCGAACAGGCGATTACGTCCGCCATCGCCCTACAGACGGTCTGCTGGAGTTTTTCGGCCGGATGGACGGACAAATCAAGATCCGGGGAAACCGTGTTGAGCTAGGAGAGATTGAGCACATCCTCCGCAGCCACAGCTCTGTCAGCGATGCAGTGACTGTGCTGCAACAGCACGATAACGACGAGGTCCGGCTCACAGGCTTTGTCACCATCCATGAAGACGATGCGCTGGCCGATGAGGCTGGTGCTGCCCCCGAATCGCAGCACGTCGAAGCATGGGAGGAACAGTTCGATGTTGATATCTACTCTCCAATCCACAACGTTCGACCCGGGACCATTGGACGCGACTTCATCGGATGGACGTCTATGTACGACGGTACGGATATAGACAAGGCAGAGATGAGCGAGTGGCTAGACGACACCATCGCCACGCTGCTCAACGGTCAGGAGCCTGGGAACGTTCTAGAAATCGGATCAGGCACCGGCATGGTCCTCTTCAATGTGTGCAAGGGCCTGCAGAGCTATGTCGGCCTTGAGCCATCTCAAAAGGCAGTCGACTTCATCACGGCAACTGTCAAGTCCATGCCTGCACTGGCAGGAAAGGTGCACATGTATAAAGCCACAGCAGCAGACGTTGGCCAGCTGGAATGGCCAATTACCGCCAACCTTGTGGTCATGAACTCAGTTGTGCAGTACTTTCCTAGCCAGGCCTATCTTTTCAAGCTTATCCAGGACATAATTGCGCTTGAAGGCGTGCGTACCCTCTTCTTTGGCGACATCCGGTCGTACACGCTGTACCGCGAGTTCCTAGCCACCCGAGCGCTACGCATAGCCGGCGACAAGGCCACAAAGGCTGAAATTCTACGCATGATGGCCGACATGGAGCGAGGTGAGCGGGAGCTGCTTGTCGACCCAGCTTTTTTTACCGCCCTGCCAAGTCGCCTGCCAGGGCTAATCGAACACGTCGAGATCCTGCCCAAGAAGATGAAAGCGACCAATGAGCTGAGCTGCTATCGATACGCAGTAGTGGTCCACATCAGGGCCCGAGGCCACCCAGAGCATGACATTCACTACATTGAGCAAGAGAGATGGATTGACTTTGCGGAGCGCAAACTAGATCGCCAGTCTCTCCTAGAGCAGCTGCACAGCTCCTCTACCTCACCTCTAGTCGCGGTGAGCAATATCCCTTACAGCAAGACCATTGTAAGCCGCTGCCTTGTCGCCTTGCTGGACACTGCGGCATCAGAGACAACGGCTCAGCAGGACTGGCTCTCCTCTGTGTACAAGGAAGCACATCATGTCCCCGCCCTTTCTGCCATTGACTTGGTTGACCTTGCTGAAGAAACTGGCTACCAGGTTGAGATCAGCTGGAGCAGGCAGCACTCACAGAAGGGTGGTCTGGACGCTGTCTTCCACCGGTATCAGCCCCAAGATGGAGGGAAGCGGGTGATGTTCCAGTTCCCTGGCGATGACGCGGATCGACTACTGCAGAGTCTCAGTAGCAGGCCGTTACGGCAGCAATACCTACAGAAAACCCAACAGCAGTTGCATAAGATGCTTGAGGCCCAGCTGCCTACTTACATGGTCCCTCAAAGCATTACTGTCCTAAACGCAATGCCAATCAACCAGAACGGCAAGGTCGACCGCAAGATGCTCGCGCAACGACAACAAAAAGAAACATCCACTCAAGGGATCAAGGGGCAGCAGGAACTGTCAACGGCACAAAGCACGATGCAACAACTGTGGGCCCGCGCGCTGGGCATCGAGGCGCAGAGAATTGACCTGGACGACAGCTTCTTCCGCCTCGGCGGCGACTCGATCGCGGCCATGAAGCTGGTCGGTGAAGCTCGAAGGATGGGAATGCACCTGAGCGTGGCAGACATCTTCCGCAATCCTACACTCGCGGGCTTAGCTGGATTAGACTATAGCTATAGTGGCAGCGCTTCCGAAGAGATTCTTCCCTTTTCTCTGCTGGGCAAAGAGGTGGCCGTGGCCGCCGCCCGCGCGGAAGCGGCCGTTAGCTGCAGCGTTGATGCCGGCCTCGTCAAGGACTTGTACCCATGCTCGCCGCTGCAGGAAGGGCTGGTGTCGCTGACGTCTAAGCGAGCAGGCGACTACATCATGCAGGGTGTGCTGGAGCTGCTCGCTGAGATAGACGAAGAGGCTTTCCGAGCTGCTTGGGAGCACGTCTTCCGCTCAATGGAAGTGTTGCGCACGCGGATCGTGCAGAACAGCCATCTTGGCTTGCTGCAGGCCGTGATAGCAGAGGATATCTCATGGCTTGAGGCAGAAGGACTAGAGGAGTACCTTAAGAAGGACAAGTCAGTGTCCATGGGGCTCGGTGATCCCTTGACACGCTACGCCATTGTCACAGAAGAAAAAGGAGAGAAGCGCTGGATGGTATGGACAGTTCATCACGCGTTGTACGACGGCTGGTCACTGCCTCAAATCATAGATGTGGTAACCAAGGCATACACCGACGGCATGGTAGAACAGCGGCCTGGTTTTCACACCTTCATCAAGTATCTCAACCAGCAAGACCAGGAGGTCGCGACCCGCTACTGGAAGAACGCTCTCCATGACTGCCAAGCGACACCATTCCCGCCCCTACCGTCAGCAGTGCAGCAGCCTTTTGCGAATGCTATGATAGACTGTCAATGCCCTCCGCTTCCCAAAGCACCCTCTAACACGACGACAGCAACGCTTGTCCGCGCCGCCTGGTCAATCATCATCAGTCGATACACGAACTCAGACGATGTGGTGTTCGGCACTACAGTCACTGGACGCAATGCCCCTGTTGCTGGCATTGAAGCCATGGTTGGGCCTACTATCGCAACGGTGCCGGTGCGAGTGCGAGTGGCAGGCGATCAGACTGTATCTGCCTTCCTCCAGCGATTGCAGCAGCAGGCGACGGACATGATCCCGTACGAGCAGACGGGACTGCAACGGATTGCCAAGATGTCAGCAGGTGCGCGGCATGCCTGCGACTTCCAGACTCTGCTGGTTGTGCAGCCTGCAAGCGACGCTCCTGGAAGCAATCGGGTACTAGGAGAGTGGCGTGGCCGCTCCGAGCTGCAGGACTTCTCGACTTATGGGCTAATGCTGCAGTGCACACTGTCCGCAGACGGAATACACATTACAGCAAGCTTTGATAGGCGGGTGGTAGAGGAGTGGCTGGTCAAGAAGGTATTGAGCCAGTTCAGCTTCATCATGCAACAGTTGGCCAGAGCACAACCAGAAGAGAAGGTGGCTGACATGGACCCACTCACGCTTGAGGAGAGAACAGAACTGTGGGCATCAAACCGCAAAACTCCAGCAGCGGTCGAACGGTGCGCTCACGACCTGTTCGCAGAGCAGGTCCGGGAACAGCCCGATGCGCCTGCCATCTGCTCGTGGGACGGCGAGATGACATACGGCGAGCTGGATGCGCTGTCCACTAGACTGGCAAGACACCTCGTACGCTTGGGTGTCAAGCTAGAAGATATTGTGCCATTGTGCTTCGAGAAGTCCATGTGGACCGTAGTCGCGATGCTGGCGGTGCTCAAGGCCGGTGGAGTATTTGTACCGCTGGATCCAAACCATCCCGTAAGCCGCCACAGAGAGATTTTTAAGCAGACAAGGGCCACAGTGGTACTTGCATCAAAACAGTGCTCGATGGTTTGGAAATCCACAGGCCCTGCTGTCTTCTCAGTCAGCGAATCAGCCATAAACAAGCTGCCTTTGCACGGCGACTTGATTCATTCTACAGTAACAGCAAACAATGCTGCCTATGTCATCTTTACATCTGGTAGTACCGGAATACCCAAGGGCGTTGTCCTGGAGCACAGAGCGCTCTCGACGAGCTGCTTAAACCACGGTAAAGTGTTGGGATTCACTCCATATACTCGAGCTCTTCAATTCGCCTCATACACCTTCGATGCTTGCATCACTGAGATTATTACTACATTGGTCTTTGGCGGCTGTGTGTGCGTCCCTTCTGAGAACGATCGTCGCAACAATCTAGCTAAGGCTATCAATACTATGGATGTGAACTGGGCGTTGCTTACTCCATCTGTGGCACAATTGCTAGAACCACAATCAATTCTGACTCTCAAGACGTTGCTCCTCGGAGGTGAAACTGTCAGCTACAGAGATCTCCTGAGATGGTCAGATGTGAATCTTGTGAGTGCGTATGGCCCTGCTGAGTGCTGCATCATGTGCACTGCGCATATGGTCAGCCAAGACTACGTATCGGGCACTATTGGAAAATCCATCGCCTCCGTAAGTTGGGTGGTAGACCGAGAAGACCACAACAGACTAGCTCCCATAGGGTCGATTGGAGAGCTCCTGATTGAAGGGCCGATCCTTGCGCGATGCTATCTCGATGATGCGGAGAAGACGACGGCGGCCTTCGTCAACGATCCCACCTGGCTGCTGGAGGGCGGGGTAGGCCATCCCGGGCGACAAGGAAGAATGTACAAGACGGGAGACCTGGTCTACTACGGGCCTGGCGGCAATCTGGTCTATATGGGCCGCAAAGACGATCAAGTCAAGGTGCGAGGCCAGCGGGTCGAGCTCGGCGAGATTGAGCACCATTTGCGGGAGTGCATGCCCGAGGTCAAGTTAATGACAGTGGAGGTCATCACGCCCAAGGGACAGAATCAAAATGCGATGCTAGCTGCCTTCCTGCAGTTAGACGTTGAGATAGAGAGTGCACTTTTGACTGACAAGCCAACTGAGACTAGTTCGCTGGCGCGAGTCATCTTTCCAGTCGAAGCAGACAAGAAGTTGGCGGAGCGTCTGCCGGGCTACATGGTCCCGGACGTGTACTTCGCCGTTGCACAGCTGCCGATGATGGCATCCGGAAAGACGGACAGGAAACGACTGCGGGAGATCGGGGCGTCGTTCTCAGCCCAACAGCTGGCGGAGATGCGGACATCAAGCCAGGGACCGAAAC